TCATTTAAAAAAAAAAAAAAAAAAAGGTTAGTGTTGGACCACACATAATTTTTAAAAATTTCTCATTTTATCATAATAGGTGACAATGAAAGTTGAAACTACTAAGAGTTAGATACCGTGTTAACCATTTCATTTACAAAAAGTTGTTAGAGTTGGACTACACATACTCTTATTTTCAACACATCTCATAATATGTAAACCTAATTAGTTCACAATTATAAGGTTGATACGTGCACAACTTATTTATTAATATGTGACAATGAGGCTTCAACTAATGTTAAGTTTAAGACAGATAACATATTAATCATCTTATCTTTTGAGTTAAATGTCATGTTATCTAAAGTTTGTCAATGTAAAATTAAAAAGGAAAAATGATAGAGAAATTTTCTATTTTGGAGTAATACTCTTTGTTATATTCATCCTATCCTATTACAAGTAAAAGGGGTGTCGTCTGCAATTCTTTTTCCACTTTTCCCCTTTGGGGGGGTTATGTCTTGGGTCGCAATTGAAAGGGACACACAAGAGGCCACCCATATCTACATTTTCCATCTTACTTCTCATCACCCATACATTTGCATGTTCTGCAAAACAAACACTAATCCCTCCAAATTCCACATTTAATGCGCATCCCTTTGTTTTTCTGGTACGAATATATACTACACCAGCTTCAAATTATCAGTATATTTATACCGATATCTTACACTATGAATCAAACAAATTTTTCATCTTCGTGTTGCATTTAACTGATATTTCTTGCCTTGTATGTCGACTATTCAATCTCTTGTTCTTGTTCTTTATCTTTTGTTTACTCCTTTTCATGGATGTAGAGCACGAAACTTTGGGGTGTTCAACAAGGAGCCTGTTGAAGGATATCACCTATCTAGCAAGGTTTGTAATTCAATTAACGAGCTAATCATTTAAACCACTTGAGCATGCTGAACATAGAAACTCATCCTAATTTCTCGTTTGCGCAGGACACAGAGGCGCAGAGTCTTGTTAGGGTTTCTATTCAACCAGACGCTAAAGCTTCAGAAGCTACCAAAACCGAAAGAAAAAACCATGACGATAATAAGATGATCCCTGCAAAGCCGTTTGAAGCTCCTAGCAGAAAGAGTCTACGGAAAGTAGAAGTATCGGGTGCTGTTCAAACTGAGCCTGCAGTTTCTGTTTCTTGGAGGTTGACTCACAAGAAACAGGGAGAGGAAGAACCAGTACATAACTTGGATTATTTACCACCCCATACCCACCCCTCGCATAACAATTGAGCTTTTTTTCTGAATGATGATTTCTATGTTGCATCTTAATACTTAGATATGATCACCTGAGAACAGATTAGCAATAAGGAAGTGTTTGGAACCCTAGAATCTTAATTATGGTTCATGTCTTGATTTGGTTTCTCTAAAATTTTTACCTAATATATAGAACCGTATATATATTATAATCCTTGTCGTGTAGAATGAACATCTCACACAAGATGTCCTTGTCGTGCCTTAATTAGCCCCCGTTTGAACTCCATTAAATTTATAATCCTTGTTTGAGTCCCATTTTACAGGAAAAAATGAATTTTTAAATAGTGTATTGATGAGAAATGTGTGGTTAAAAAATAAGGAAATTTTTTTAATTTACGTGTCATATTAATTTATTGAAAAATATGTGGTTGAAATGATGTCAAAATACTATAGATAATGTATTTTTTTCTAAATAATGGGGCTCAAACAAGCTAATAATACATTATTTTCTCTCTTCTTTTTAACTACATATTCTCCAAAAAATAATATTACACATAAACTAAAATTTTTCGTTCTTTTTCAACCATAGGTCCACACATTAAAAAATATATATATATTATTCCAAAAATTATAACATCAAATAATGGGACTCAAACGAAGCTTAATGTATATTAATGGATTATATTTTGAAGAAAATATTTGATTAGCATTCCTACAAAATCTTGTATTTGTGTTTTCTTATTATATTAATGTCAAAGAATCAAGAAGTTGTGGAAGCTAACCCCAAATCTTATTTAGGGTTTTGCCATGTTCATCATGGCCTCAGGTCCCCTCTTTAACGGCCTAAATTTTTAAAACAAGGGGCTCAACGTACTCCACCTCTGTCCATATATAACTTACTACTTGCAATCTC